GGGAAGCCAGGATTCCCAGCCATACCCAGCAAACCTCTGCGGGTCTATCCATGCCCCAGGTTTTTACAGCATTGTGGTGATTATGAGTGGCCCGCCCGTGTTTATTTATCACTAATATCAAATGCAAAGTGATTTTTGGAGATTGCCCTATATACTATAACTAAACATACATGCACTGGACGGAAGAAAAAAATCACCCTTTGACATTTATCTTGTGCCTTTCATTGGAAATGTTATTACTCTCTCTTCTCTTCGTTCTGTGGGGTCCGTGAAGGACAGGGCCTCTGTGAATGCAGCTCAGACTAATCTGGAACCTGCTAGTCTCCTGTTTCAGCGTTCTTAGCTCCGAGATGGGGGAACAGCACACCCAGCTCAAAACCTTATTTTCTCAAAACACCTCGGCTTTGAAAATCCTTGCACCGTATCTCGTGTGTCCCTGCAAACTTTCTCCCCGCCAAGTTCTTCCTAAGCCTTCTCTGAAGTATGTCAGAGCCAATTCCCCTTTGTGAAAGAGTAGTTTCTGAGGCACTGTCTCCTCACTGTCCTGTCGTCAGAGCTGAAGATTTTTCTACAGCTGCACCATTGGAGAAGGTGTGTGCCGAGTACTTAACTGAGACAAACATGTGTGAGAATAACCCACTGTGAAAGGCCTTCATCTCTATAGCAAAAAGAAAGCATTAGTTCTGTGGATGTTATACCACAGGCACCGTGGCAACCACCCTTTTTTTCTTTAAGTTGTCTCTCCATTTGTCCAAAGGACAAGCTCAAGGCCATTCCAAGGTCATAGAGTCTGCAGGTGACATCTTGGTTTGAGCCCAAAACCCTAGCTGCCCTAATACCCCACTATCAAGAGAAATAACACTCATGTGTGGCAGCACAGTAGTATTGTAATAAATAGGGCTGGAAATGAAATTCAGTGGCGTGAGAGACCTATGAAAGGTAAGGAAACTGATTCTAATTTGGAGCAGAGAAAGAACAACAACAAAAAAGATTTAGAAAGCTCCCCTTGAAAGGTAGTCAGGTTAAATTTTAAAGGTTGTGCTTGCTGTCTCTGGCAGTGTTGTGAAGTTTGACTCTTTAAAGTTGTTAAGGACTTGCATTGCTAACGGAGGAGCTAGCTTAAGTGAGGGCACAGAGGTAGAATACAGGATGTTACAGTTGGAGGGAAATAGTTTTGCAATTGAACTGCTTTTTTTTTTTCTTCTTCTCCCAACCTGTGCACAGGGTGTTTTATAACTTCATGCACATTTTCTTTGAAATGACTCGCTTTGACTTAAATTAATTTTAAAAGGAAACTTTAACCTCTGAGACAGCTCAGATGTTAAGAGCACCGACTGCTTTTCCAGAGGTCCTGAGTTCAATTCCCAGCAACTACATGGCGGTGGCTCACAACCATCTGTAATGAGATCTGGCGTCCTCTTCTGGCCTGCAGGCATACATGCAGGCAGAACACTATACATAATTATTTTAAAAGAAACTTATTAGAATACTCTAAATAGGAAACAATGCAACAGAAAGTGATTATTTAAAAAAAAAAAACCTCCATAATTCTATTTACATAGTACATTTGGCTCAAAGTTTTGGGTCTGCTCTCTTTTGTTAAAAGTGTTTCTCTGAGCTGGGCGTTGGTGGCACACGCCTTTAGTCCCAGCACTCGGGAGGCAGAGGCAGGTGGATCTCTGTGAGTTCAAGGCCAGCCTGGTCTCCAGAGGGATGGCCAGGATAGGTGTTTCTCTGGCTGGGGCCCGAGAGATCACTCAGCAGTTAAGGGCTCTGTCAGGGGCCCAAGTTTGGTTCCCAGCACCCACGTAGATCCATTCACAGTCGTGTATAACTGCAGCTCCAGGGAATCCAACACCCTCTTGTAGGCTTCCTGGGTATTCACAGGAGTGGTGTACATACACACATGTGCATAAATAATAATAATTTTCCATGTGTTTCTGGCCGAGGATGGATACAACTCAGTGAAAGAGCACGCTGCACCTGTGTGAAGCCCTGGATTTAATTCCCACACTATATTTTAAAAGGGATTGTTTCTTAAATTTTCTTTTTCCTGAATCCTTAGTGCAGTAAGAAGGGTCAGAACCAAAATTGCTGATTCTGCTGATGCTTCCTGGGCACTAACAGTGTGCCAGGTGCACAGTTACTGTTACAGACTCCATTCTTCAGACGTAAGAGCTGACCTATGCCAAGCTGAATCATTTGCCAGGATCTCCCCCTTAAGTGGTGTGGTGTAATCCAATTTGGAAGTGTTGTAATGGACTCCAGGGCCCATTCTGAACAATTTCATTTGTTGTCCCCAGCTTAGAAGGATTGAAAGACAACTAGAGAAAAAAAAAAAAAAGAAAGAAAAGATCTTAAGATGGTTCACTGCCTATGGCTTAACTTCTGGGAAAAATTTTAAAAAGTTGGCATTAAGACTTGAACTTTGACCAAGCAGTAGTATTGCACACCTTTAAGCCCAGCACTCCAGAAGCAGGGGCAGGCAGATCTCTGTGAGTTCAAGGCCAGCCTGGTCCACAGAGTGAGTGCCAGGACAGCCGGGGCTACACCAAGAAACCCTGTCTCAAAAGAACAAACAGAAAAAGAAAACGCAGAGTGCTGGATCTTATCAAAGAGAACAGAGTGAGACTGTGGGTTTAAATTCTTAGCTTCTTTATCTTTGTCCCTCTTAGTTTGCTTCTCTATCTCCTGCATGAACATGATATAGTACACTAGTTCTTAGCTTAAATGATGAAGTGGCTAATGGCCACTTCCAAACAAATGGATTTTAAGAAGAGAATTCTAAAAAAAAAAAGGGGGGGGGGAGGTCCAACACCTTCACACAGACATACATGCACGCAAAACACAAGTGCACATGAAATAAAAATAAATTACAAAAATGGAGAGAATTCTGACAGTAATTATATAGAAGTTTGGAGATGAGTGAAAACAGGAGATATTATTACATATCTAAAAATTAGTCATTTTTTTTTCTTCCTCAACCCTGATCCTGATCTTTCAACCATGGCTGATTAGTTGCATGGAGCATAACTTCTTTGCTTCAGAACAAAAGGCATCCTTAACAAGAAGAAACACTTTGTCCTGAATCATCATAACA